TCTTTCTTTCTTTCTTTCTTTCTTTCTTTCTTTCTTTCTTTCTTTCTTTCTTTCTTTCTTTCTTTCTTTCTTTCTTTCTTTCTTTCTTTCCTATAACACCTTTATAGGGTGCTCCAATAAATTTATATACAACTTAACCTTTAATTAAAATAAAAAAATACGTATGGTAATACATTTGCTTTTACTGTACTATATCAAGCATTTATTGAAATAAATCAAAATCTTATGCATTATTGAACTTTATTTTCATATCAGATTGCATTTTTTATGACAGTTTGATTTGTTCATATTTTGCTTGATTTAATGAACTTTAACAGACATTTGAAGTGGCTTCTAAAGTTTGCAAAACATTTAGGTCTTGCCAACTTTAGAAGTTATCAATGATCACAAAATCTCAAAGTCATTTTTTTAGGTTTAGAAAAGCTCTTGTTGAATTTCTTTCTCTGGAGGATGACAGTGTATCAGATGAAAGAATGTTGACTAATTTTCCTTTAAAATTTTTTCAATCCATTTCCTGAAGGAAGCAACTCGTGTGTAGACATCAGGAGTCATTGGGTTTCCACATCTACGTCCAGAAAAGGAAACGACACCTACTGAAGTTCCATTACAGATCAGTGGACCTCCTGAATCCCCCTGCAGCAGAACAATGCAAGAAATAATGAGGTCTAATGAACGTTAGTAAATTTTTCTTTGCATTTTTAACCAGCCTTACCGAGCAGAAGCCCTGTAGCCTTTCTGCCCCCATAGCACAAACCATTGATCTGGTTATGGGAACTTCTCTCCATCGTCTTTGACAAGTACGTGTTGGCATAATGGTGACATTGACTTCCTGAAGCCTGTTTGCCAATGTGTTGTTGTCCCCTATGTCTCCCCAGCCTGCTGTGAGGCATTTACTTCCCACTTTGGGGCGGTTGGACTTCATAGAGATCAGCTGCACTTCTTTGGTTAGAATTGCTGGTCTGCTAAGCTGAGAATACATTTACAATAAAAAACAAGAAATATTAGAGTTGAACTAATTTAAAAATCTATCAAGCAAGAAGGGTTTACTGATTTTAAAACCTGATATATTTCACCCAACCTTTAGCAGCATAATATCATTTGCAAGATCAGTGTAGTCTGGATGGGGAAAGGTACTGAGAACATCAATGTGCTGCTTTGCTGGCTCATTTCCCTCCAGTTTATCTGCTCCAAGCACAACCGTGTATGGTCTAGAAATCATAGAATTATACATGTTACATTTATTAGTGTGATTAAGCAGAACAATTTCTTTCTATATGACAAAAATAAAATCTGGAAATAAACTGAGACTATTATAACTTGCGTAGTTTTTCTAATGCTACTATGAAGGGCTTAGTCGCTAAGCATTTGAGTAAAATCATCATTTGTGTTTGGGAATTAAAATAGAGCTGAACAACCCAGCTCCAGATAGCTTAAAGCCTGTACAGAGATTAGTTCCGATCATTTGCATTTCCAGCCCCACAAGACTGGTTAAGTGATCGGATGACGGAAAACTAGGCAGATTTTTTTTACTTTCTGGACCTGGATTATCCACCTGTAGATAATAAAAAAATGTATTGCTCTGAGCATTTGTCATAAAACAGGACAAATTAGCCTCCTTTATGTACAAGATAGAAAGACAGACAGACAGATAAACCTTTTTCCTTCACTGTCTGACATTAAAGAAGACTTATGTCTCCTGCTTTAAAGCCAGCTTGGATTACCAAAATGATGTGGTTTGGCCAAAAGCTAGAATACATTTTTTTAATTATTTTCTTAAAAGTTATGTTTATGAATTACTATGCCTTCAAGTAATTATTTAAATGTTAAAATAATGGTGTTACAGGTGTTACAGAGTTGTAAAGTTTTCACTATCTTTAAATCATTAAATCTAATTTTTGTTTGAAAAAAAACAAAAAAAACGGCCAAGATATCACAAGAGAGTTGTGACCTCTCCCAGAAGTCTGGGATGTTTGAGAATAACATCAACACTCCAAAGGCTGCATAAAACAGAAAAATGCTTTTGGGAGCAGGATTCCGTTATGTACATCTCAAACTAAGTCAGGGGGTTAAAGCATGGAGACAAATGGCTTTTCCAAATGGACAATGACCCTCACTGGTTTAGTTAGGAATCAAAATAGCATTGACACTTTCTTGATCTCTGTCCAACAGAAGGCATATAAAACGACATCTGAGAGCAATAAAATGAGGCAGTCGACCACTTCTGTTTTGAAGGAATGCAAATCTCTGTGAAAAGTTGTAGAAGCATACACAAAATGTTATTTCTTTGTAAAAAAAAAAAAAAGTAAGAAAAAAAAAAAGATAGATAGATATTTGCATTTTTATGTTTTATCAAAGTTAATATTTGACAAATCCTTATAAATCATAATCAGACGTATGCATTTCTTTAAATTTTTCATTTTGCTAAAATTATATCAACTGGGCAAAAGGCAGTTAGAATATACCGTACTTAAAAAAAAAGATCAACACCTTTACTTTCCTTCCACATATTCTTTCTAATCAAATAAAGACTTATTTTAGCCTCAGAACTAGAGTTGCTTTAATTTGAACTTACAGTAGAGTTTCTTATACCTTCTGAGCAAAACTTACATTGATAAGTCACAATGTGCTGCTGTGAGCACAAAGTCCTCTCTTATGAGGACTCCACCACATATATGTCGACCTCCAATTTGAAGTGAGGCTATGTACGGTCGGGAGTGGGGTACAGCATCTCTTCCTCCAACAATCTTAGAGCCTTCAGCTACTGAAATATAAAAAAAAAAAGCCTTAGTTCTGCATTAAATCAATATTTTTCTCATTTTATTCTCTTTTCTTTGACTTTACTAGTCCCAGCATATTGCAGCTTACCTTGGAACAGGGAGAGCAGTATAAGTATGAAGCTGATGGCCATGGTCTCCTGAGAAGCCCAAACTGTCCTTTTTGCTTCATAACATCTAAGGAATGGATACAAAAAGGAAACAACTTCCTTTTTTGGTCTCTTTATTGCTTCAGCTTGTTTGCCAACAAGCTGTTGGGCTGTCAGTATGACAAAATACATCTTACGATATCCTCAAGCAGGTTTCTAAATTGGGTTTGAAATCTTTAGTAAGATATCAGTGATACAGAAAACTAATAATAGAGGAAGAAATGCACTACATGTTTCGCTTAATGTTTTATCTACCCTTTAATCTTTTAAAAAGAATTCTGTTTGAACAGCTGAAACACTTCCTTCTTTAATGTTGTTACATCACAGCTTAGTCTAAAGCAATTTTGTGAAGAAAGAATGTGGCTTAATGCAACTTTTCTTTTGTATTTTAACTTTAAACATTAAAAAAGTACCACAGCAACGTTGCAAAACGCTTCCATATATGTAGTACTTTTTACTATTTAATAGAAGAAACTTAAAACACAGAATGTGTAGCAAGAAAAACCCTCAGTTTTATAAAGTTTACTTTTAGCAATATATAAATGATATGATAGCTTATGCTGATGAAGAAGCTTTGGTACAGTTTTACCAAAAGATTATGAATGTATTAAATAACTAGAATTGGATGTTATAGTTAAAAGGTCTTTCAAATCTAGGGTAAAAACAAATAATAATTATTATTTCAATGAGTATAACTTTAATTTGCTTTCTCGCCAGTGTTCTTAGTCTTTTATGTAAAGTTGCCTTCACCAATTTAATAATTTAGACTACGCCAATCAGAGTTTGTATCTAATAACTGTGCAACATTAAACACTACTGAAAATAAGCACAAGTAATTATAAGCAAATAAAAAGGGGAGGGGGGTTAAAAATCTGTCAAGAGTCTGAGGAATGTTCAAGTTTTAAGGCTGGAAGATTTCATGGTGTCCTTTAAAATAGCAGCAGATGAATGTGAATAACACTGACACAGAGCTATTAAATGCACTTAAACAGTGAAGCTTTATTTGGTTCTACAGAGAAAATGAACAATGAATACGAAAAGCATTAACATGTAGTGATATCGAACAGAATACGTTAGTTCAGTTTAAGGTCAGGCCAGCTAGAACAAAAGGGTAAGAAGACTCACAAAATGGCTGTTACCATATGCCTGATAATATGGTAGCTTGAATCGAATGATGCTGGCCAGTCCAACCGTAGTAGCCTAACCCTTCAAAACTAATGGAAAAAGAGGAATTAAGCAGACAGTAAAACATATCATGGATTGTTTAGTCAGACTCAGTGAGCATTAACATTAATTTCACCAGTGGTGCACCATGTTTATCAAATCTAAACAGAGCCTGTTTCTAAATTCCTAAGAACACAAGTATGGACTCATGTCCTTGCCAAATACGTTCTTCACAAGAACACAGCAAAGCATGGACTTGGGGAAAACAGGAGCACGCAGCATAAATATGGGTCTATTGGAACAGAAGCCTACTCATGATGTCACCACACGCTCGGCTCTTCTGAAGCTGCATTTTACCTCCTGTTATTAATAGTGTCTATTTGATAATAAATTATTACGTTTTTTATTTAGTGGGGGAATAATTAACACAGAAACACAAATCGAGTGAACATTTGACCGTATAAAACAAAAAATCATAATCAGAGGCAACATTTTGTGTATATGCTTCCACAACCCTCTCTCAACATAGCCGTATGTACTTCTCACACTAATCACTATATAGGGCTCTAGTGGTTAGGCCATTTTAGATGAGTGACTGAACGTCTAGTGGATGAAAAAGAAGTGGACTCGAAATTTCAACAATGCACCTTGAAAAGTAGTGATCATCCATGGTCACTAGTGGAGCAAATATATACCAGAATGCTTTGTCACCATAGACTGTCGCTGCCCGACAGCAGCGACTAATAACAAAAAAGCCGCAGGCACAGTGCAATGGAGGCGGAGATATCATCTGTCTGAATGGTAAGTAAACCGAGTTTACTATAAAGTCCACTATATAGTCCACACTCTATATAGTGATTGAGAGTTCTAAGGATTAAGGTGGCTGTTTGGACACAGCAATGGAGAAACGGCCAAGGTTGTTTCTGTCATGATCAGAACCGAAGGACCCAGTATTCAGGCAAGACAGACAGTCAGATTACTCAAAAATCTTTTATTAAAAATAAGCCGGTCTCTGAGAACAGCTGCTGTCTGAGGTAAGAAACTCTGGAGGAGGAAACACAGGTTAGTGAGCACGTAAATCTAACAGAGGAAGATTATGAATAGAGTCAGTCACTAACCTGGTCTTAAAG